AATAGTTTCCTTTAAGAAATTTAACCAGCAGTCTTGTCTAATGGTGTCAAACTGAACTATTCTAATGCCAGGCTGCTGATTTTAGTTTCAGATGTGAGTAAGTCTTATGCGAATTACTTTAGTCACGTGATTCTTGAAGTATCAACGGCATTGTTATAGAAAGTAATTCGAATATTTCTCATCTCGATATCGATTTCTCTCGTAATTTTTGTCGGTCACCTCATATCTTGTTGATTTCAAAAAAATGTTTCGCGAGACCTAATACATTAGGAAGCTGACATTCTCTAGCTTAACTCAACCTCTTTTTTAACAGTTTATTAATTGATGTGTTCTGCTCATTCCTTGTTATTGTTTCCCTTTATTCTTCCCCAAGTTTCTGGAAAACGTCTATGCCATCTAACGTTGTACTTTAAAGCCTGTAAGCAGGGTGAGTGGTGTATCATTGATCAAACTAACTAATATTGGTAATGATAGGCAGATTGTTTCATGCAAACAGTTACCTAGGGCCATCTTGTCAGATACTAAACACCTTCATCTTTCGAACTTTCTCCTTGTATCTCTTCAGGAAAAACTAGAAGAAATTTCATCAGAATTCATGCTCGTACGACTGAATGTAAAAATCCAAACACACCCTATTTAGCCTGATATTGTATGAAGAGACAAATGTCAGGAATGAACTAGGTAATCTACTTCATTATCTGTAAATAAACTGCTACTTATTTCTAGCATCATTCTTGTATTAACTTCAGATTTTGCAGTTATCTAATTTTTTTAGTTACAGGATTTCATCATCAGCTGGCATCGGTTAGAGAACCATTGAAAAATCTGGGACAGCTGTTTCGTCAGCCTAGTTTGGGACTCTTCATCATTACGCACCTGCCGGGTTTGAACCCAGGATCTCTTGAGTTCGCCGAAGACACTGGTTGGTGGTCGTGGAAGTTCAAATTCATAGGCCACTGGATCGGGTCTCAGGAGCTTAGTAGTCTACCAGTTGGCCTCGTAACCAGAAGGTCCTAGGTTCGAATCACCCTATGGTGGGTGCGTACGGATGAAGAGTCCCGAAAAGGACGAAACAGCTGTTCACTACCCCCAGGTTTGCCAGTCGTTCCCTAACCGATGTCAGCTCATGATGAAATCCTGTAACCAATTAATCAAATCCCTACAAACCAATACTTGAATAATTTGTTTTTATGTGTAAGTGGAGCTAAATTGTAGCAATATGTGCTTGCTGAAAATTCCATTTTCCATAAAAATTATTATCTGGAATAAAGTGATTATTATTATAATTAATTATCATTGCTTCTCCGAAGACGCTACTCTATATATTAATTATGTCTATTTATAAGTAACATAGACATTTCAATTTTTGTTTTTTACTCATCTGGTGAGTCATAAAATTGAATCGCATTTTGACCGTAATTATCCCTTTTTATTGTTACTACTTGTGATGCTTAACTTCGCTATGTGATATTTATAACTGTGAGTGCTTGTACGGTTAACAAATGTTATGGCTGAAGTGATATCTAGACAAAATCATCAATATAAATAGGTTTAAAAGATCTCTTAACGTCAATTTTATGTCCTGTCTCTATAATATGTTTCGCAATAGAGGAGCTAGGTCTCCTTCTCTCACCATTAATGGGTTCTGAAGATTCTATTTGCTTCTGGCGTCATTTAGAAATGTGCTCTGAAGCCAGCACTTACTTGCAGAGATCGATGAGTCCTCCCTATGTATGTGTGTCCACACGTACATTCGAATTGGTAAATACAGTGGGATGTGACATCATTTTCACATTTTCTTAGGGCTTAGGGGAATATATCGGCTTTACATTCGCAATTATTATGATCTTAGCTGCATAAAAAGTCTTTTTAACGACAGCGTTCAATTTCTGTCTAGTTGTCAAGCTGCCGAAGTGACACATATAGGATAGCTTGAAATATACATCTTTCTTACTGGAGAGTTGGAGATTGAGTGGTAACTTTAACACGGTACATAAGCAAACTTACAATTTTTAATTGGCTAAGCTGACATTTTTTGTACAATCACTGATCGTCGGTTAACTCATGTTTTTATTCCTTTGCATTCCGGGCCATCAATGTGATTATGATTGCGATCAGTAATAAATTGTGCTCGAAACGTGGTCATCAGTAAATATTACTGTATAACACTGTGAAACTCCATCAATACAAATTTTACCCATCATGAAATAATGGGTAGATATAGATAGATATACTGGCTTCACATTCTCAAGTAATATCATATTAGCTATATTGAGAATGTGAAGCCAATATATCTATCTAAGCTCTTTGAACATGCGAAAAATGATGTCACATCCTACTGTATGTACCAATTTGAATGTACGTGTGGAGGGAGGACTCATCGATCTCTGCAAGTAAGCGCTGGCTTCAGAGCATATTCCTAAATGGCTCCAGAAACAAATGGAATCTTCAGAACCCATTAATGGTGAGAACAGGAGACCTAGCTCCTCTATTGCGAAACATCAATATAAAGCCAAACCTGTACAATCTACACAGGCCACTGAGTTTAGGTGTGAAACTGTCATTTTATTCTTCTCCGCTATTCAAAAGTATTAAAACTGTCCCATAGATTGCTTCTAATGATCTAATCGTACTGAATATTCCGTATATCGCTATGAGATGACATATTGCTTTATTCTATTAATAAAAATAACAATAAATAGGCAATTTCTTTGTAACCGCTTCAATTAAAGCTTCACAATAATTAAAGATACGCGAAGTATCAGGATGCAGAAACAGTCACAACCCAACGCAATACACCGTGGTAACAGCCTGATATATTGATGTAAGGCCATGACTTGCGGAATGATATAATTAGAAAGTAGTGATAGATATCTACCTACATCTGTGATTGCTGGTTCAAAATTAAATGATTGGGACAAAATTATTTGTGAGTGTATAGACTGGGAAGATATGTAAGTAAGTTGGTGAAGATTATAATTAAACTGCTTTCATATATATCACGTTTGGGAACTTCTCTATCTTATAGTCGATCGGATTAGTCACAGACGTTAAACGTGTTACTTCTGGTTGCACAAATCGAGCTCTTTTGTTTGGATTCTTATGGCTACTGCTATTTTGTCGAATTCGAAGTCTAACTGTATTTGGTCAATTAGCAGAAACATGGTAAATGACAGAAAATGGCTGGTCCACAGTTGCCGTTACGGTAATTCTGGACTAGTTGCGGTGGTATATAGTTAGTTATAGTTTTTATTAAATCTCTCTTTAGCTACAAAAGAAGGTATGGTTCCTAGAATAACGTGACTGGATCTACAGGATACAACAGATAAATACACGGATAAGTAGCTAACCTGGGGGGGCTTAATTTTCAGTTTTGATGTCACCAATAGACCTGTGTCAAATATGATTTATAATTTCCCTTCATTGGATATTCTTCGAATAAATCTTTTTATATAAGGGAGAAAGGAAGTGTGTGCGAAGCTCTATTCTGGAACACCTGATCGACTTCTGCCACTCTGTCAACCCTGACCATGATTTCAAGATAATATATAGAATCCATGCTAACTTTCCGCGTTTTCTTCGTTACAGACTTCTAAAGACAGCTGAGGCCTTGGCAATTCATGACTTTAAGCCAGACCTTTGTGTACAAAAGAAGTATGTACAATCCCTACTTCTGCCTTGGCCGTAGAGGGATAGACATTTATTTATTTTGTTTATTTAGTTATTCTATGTACTTTTCCCTTATTACTATTATTATTATTACTATTCTCACTCTGAATCTTTTCCACTTGACCCAATTGTCATTCTAAACTCAAAATTATTTATTTTTATAATATTGAATCCTATCTTATCAAATTTCACACCATGTTATGTAACATTTTATATTCGTCTACTAATCCTATAATTATGTACCCCTTTCCAAAATCTATACACCTTATGTATTATTCTATATATGACATTAATTATTTTGCCACTTGACATTAAACTATGATTATAATCACAAATATTTTAATTGCATTTCATACTATTATTATTTCATGTATTCACACCTTTGACCTAATTCCCTCACCGGATATAATTTCTTAAAAACCATATATATACGATTGTACAGCTTGATAATAAATTCGTTGAAAATAGTCTCTTCGCTGAATATTGTGTTCTTAATGCTAAAATGGGAATTATTAAATTATATATATCTTCTGATAAGTTTACCCAGATAATCCTTATCAAGAAGTGTTTTTGTAAGAACATCAGTTCTTCTTCGATGGTATCATCTGAACACATCGCCTTTATTCTTTGGCTTAAAGTCTTTGTAATTTTTCGTTCGCATTTACACTGATTAATATATTTATTTTAAAAGATTATTATGAATGGCTTGGTAAAACGTCTTATGTTGTCAGCCGTAAAACTGTCTGCGATAATTTGAAATTAAAGTTATTCAGTTAAAATTTCGCAACCCTATGCGGGGTCGTTTTTGACGCAAATCACCTGAAGCTACAGATTTCAACGACTTAACTGTTTTATTTTCGCTTTCAATGGAGAATTTAATTACTCTTGAAATCTTCTCATTTTCTTTTGTATCACTGGGAAACTAACACATTTCCCTTGACAGGAAAAACTCCTAAAGCCTATTTTCTGCAGTTAAAAATCAACTTATGGGATTCAGCCTTTGTCTAAAGAATTAGGCTATACAAATTGTTAGTGTTTAGGTGAAGGACTGATCACTACCACCCAAAATAGGCAAAACATTATTAACATTTCTAATCTATATATATATATATACATACGAGGTATTATGAGGAGTCCTATGATGAAAATCTCTGCTCCCAAGTTCGTGCATTTCGGCTGTGAAAAGTACACACCTGAAGGTATTTACCTCTCCTCTGTCATTCAAACTTGCTCAAGTACTGAAACGTACTGCTGATTGTGACTAGACTCAAACTTCTGGTGGTTTTCGAAAAGTTAAAATTATACGCTGAACTATAAATTTATAAAGACTTAAAGTTTTGAATTTCAGAAAATCCTATTTACTATTTTGATAAAAGATCATTAAATCCCTTCGTCAAACAATACATATATTAACTGATATGTAGCTTCACTTCAGCTTCTCATTTTCCCCAGTGACCTAAAACAATAAAAAAATAAGTGTAAATAATTATATTTTTAAAGGTTTAATCATCTGAAGAAATTAATATGCAAGTTTTATTCAAAAATTTCCACATTAATCCTATTGGCTTAAACATGCAGAGCAAAAATCCTAAATACTCTTAGGTAGAAAGATACTATTTGCTAAGAATACATTTATGGGATTGTTACATCTGAAAATCTCAAAGCAGATTCCTTCAAGAACTGACATCACCAAAGGATCATTGAAAATCATGTGGCACTGGATATCTATCTCGTCCTGTTTCAGGACTCCACGAGAGTTTAAATATAGGACCTTCAGGATACGAAGCAAGCCCGTCTATCATCCGGCTACTGCTCGATTTTGGATAAAGAAGAGGCCCCCTGAGGCTCTAATATGAAGCTATGTTCGCTTTGGCTGAGAGTGGTCCTATACTATGAAATGACAGACGTCTAAATTTATGAGCTATTGAATTGCAGCCCAGTGACCGAAAAGTCAGTATTCCTGCCCTTTAATGGGAAAGTCTTGTACTTCATCCCTGATAGGGTTGTGAGATAGCTTTCTCAGAGCTGCTTGATTTTGACTGATTCTCTAGCTGATCTCAGTTCAAAATGTACACTGAAATTTACCAAATCCTTAAAAATCCGAAATCTTAACATCTAGAAGCATTAAAAACTTCGACTTTAACCAACTATTTCTAACTTCCAAAATTTCTATTAATCTCCTGTACGCTTTCGAGAGTAGAAAATTTAATTACCGTTTACTGTTAGATTTCAAAATAACCAAATGGTCTAAATATTGAAACAAATATTTTGTTTATTTCGGTCCAACATAATTTCTCTGCATTTAGCATTAAGATATTACCAGCAACTTAGTTATAACAGTATTTTTTCATAGTAGGAGTTATGTAATGCCCAAGAAAATTCAAGTCTTGTAGACAAACTTACAGCTGTCAAACATAAATCATGCTTAAAATGAAAAGTCTTGATTTTTGTCGCAAAGAAACTATACTTGACCAATACTGTCTAAATTGAAAAGATACGAACTAAAAAGTTTCATTTCTACGTGCTTAGAATCGTTAGCAGAGTGTATCAAGAACCATAAAAAAGATAATGTCCCCTTAGTTTCCTTTATCGCATCAAGCAAAACTATAATCCTTGACGCCGTCGCTCAGTTAAAAGAACTGAGACTGATATATCTTAAGCCTAGAATAGTTTTAATGCTAAGAGCCTCTTGGCTGAGCCACTTGTTTCGTTCTTTTCATTAATGCCTGGATAAGGATTATTCATGAATAACTGATCAGTCACTGAGCGGCAATTAACTTTGTGCTTTACAGTCAAGTGCCAGGTAAGGAGAGGAAATCAGTCGACGAATTTGTGAAGTTACATTGAGATGGTTGGGACATGTGTTACGCATGCGTGGCCATCGATCGCCTTCTTCAACGGGTGATGTCAGCTGACTTACATAGGATCAGGTTGAAGAAGAGGTAGTAGTGGTCAAATGAAAACATGGCTTCATCAGTCAACGAAATCCACAACAGTTAGTTTAAGCCAGCCGCTACGTTGGGAAGTGTAGACTACTTCCTGGTCAGGATCCTCGGGATGGTAGGAACCAGTGGCTGCAGACAATTGGTAGTATGGCCCAAAATCGTTCTCGATGATGGCGCAGATGCATTCACTCTTTGTCATTTATAATATCTAATAGAATCCTATTGTTCTTCCATATTACTATTCTTTTTGCCTCATATTTCTGTTAATTGTCTCTCTTTTGAATCTCTCTTTACTGTCTTTCCTTACTTTGTGTATTACATGGAGTGTAGCAACTCAAAGTGCTGCACATCTGAGTAAATTTCTATGTTGAAACAAGTCAGTCAGTCAGTGTGCTTTACAGTACTGAATACTAATTAGTGCTAATAAATACGGAGTGTTAGTCTTGACCTTTCTGTGCTTTACCTTTATGAATTGAATTGTAAATAAAATGCCCTGTGACGATAAGTTTCCCAATTTATTGACTACTTTTCAGATTTCTATAATCACATACTGATTAAACATCATCAAATGAAAAGATAAAGTGAGTCTTACCTTCTGATTATTTTGGATTCCAGTACAACTTTCCAGTTGGTTTGCATTTTTTCAGACCCTGTTTGAAAATAAGAATTATGAATAACAACAAGCGGGAATATTCTCACTGATGTACTTGTTAATTTACTGTCTAAACGATTTCAACACACCTGAAGAAACAAAATACCACAATGCAAGGCAAGCATTGAACTCTTTTACTATCCACAGTCAAGGAACTGCACATATCTCACAACTAGATTATTATTTTTTTATATTATTAGACAGAATGAAAGTTTTTAGCTGGAGAATTTCGTCAGACTTCGCAATCTGAGCTAATTAGCTTGAAAATATTATGCCATTTTTTGTATCATTTGAACCAAGAAAGGGAAGAAAATGTTAACCAGACGAGTAATAGTGAAGAGTGGTCTGGTGTTTCTCGATGTTTCCTGCTTTTTCCAGCTAATTTCTACCACTCATGAGATATGTTTTTACCGGCTATTTCAGTATCATGCTAAGACAGAGTGTTTATCTAAAGTAACTCAATCAAGATGCTTCACCATCGATAATACCAAGTTCTCGACTGCTTGAAAAAATAATAAACTTGTGTATACATGAATTTGATGAGTTTATGAATTGTGAATTTGGTTTTAGCTGTTTACATATCAGTGTTTGTAAATTCAGTTAGGCCATTGTTTTGTCAGGGGATGAATAAGGCAGAAGTATTCACGCATAACAAAGTTCTGATTGAGATTGTGATTTTCATGTATAAATTTCATTTGAATATTTATCTAAGTATATTTAATTCAGATCTATGCATAATAATGAAAACTGCACCTAGAAGTCTTCCAAACCACTATTTCTTCTGAAAATTTTTAAAAGGTTTACGTCATCGATATTTTACACCCGTTCTTCGACTACTGTGGAGCAATAATTTTTATGTTCACTAAAACTGGCGAAAGAAAGCAGATAATGGATAAAACCTATTTCAGTGGTTTACTATTCGCTCCACATATTTATTTATTCCTTTACTTTACACATAGGCTTCAAGCTTGGGCTTCGAAGTTTCAGTGGCAGTGGTTTTATTTTAACGGAATGTGGCTGCTAGACTCATGCCCAACCTTCCCTCTTTACTGGCCTTATTACCGACTTAGTGAGGTTTAGGAGTACGCCGGCTGGAGGTTGAACCTCACACATTTGGTGTGGTTGACGAGTATTCTACCGCTGAACTACTGACACTAATGATATAGATTGGTTACTAAATGATGTTGGCGATTTCGGTAACAGAATCAACTGAACAGCTGTCCCTGGCTATCAAATATCCTCAGCAATTCATCCAGTGGAACGACTAAGTCTCTAGCTTTCATGATGGCGACTATCATGTGAACTGATCTCATATGTCTAAAACACAATGTGCAACACTTAAACTGAACTAATAGTTAAATTACTCTCCACCAACTTAGAAATTTAGCCAAAATATAATAATTGAGTTTAGAAACAGGCATGGATCAGCTTTAACACACCTTTGAACAATTTGATTGTATAGTAAATTCATCAAAACTACATCATGAGTCTGTCAATTCATAAGCAAAACTGAAGTTGACAGGGTTTATCACAAAACAAATGGAAATATGTCTGGAAAATTGATTACCTGACACAGGTATTCCGGTTGGACTTCATCACTAATCAACGTCAATGCTTGCTGAAGATACACCGGACCCATAATAGTACACTGGTGATGATAACAATAAAAGTAAAATATATTCATGGGATTGAATGCTTCCGATATGTTCCAAGTATATATAAATATATATTCAGGTAAAATTAGTTTAAATCTACCTGTTGTTGTTGATATTAACAAATAAGGTTTATTCAGAGTCCTAAGAGAAGTTACTTTATTTCGAACACATGAATTGATGTGACTCAGTGATTGAGTATAAACTTTGACACGAAGCCACTAAGCTAATGATCTCTCCATATCATTCCTTCTCAAAGGGGATCAACAGTAGCTTGAATAGCTCAGTTGAAAAGTCCTCAACTCTAATAATGATTGACGTATGTCCAAAACTCAGAGGATTAGGAGTCTTTCTGAATTGTAGAAACAGCCTGTTTATAAGATAGAGAACCTCCTTACAATTCATGAGTAGCATCTAATATCTGGTAGTGCAATTGTATAAAAACACCTAGAAATTCACATTTAAGATAATTCCATCCTGGAGATAGGCACATAGCATATACAATAACGTTTCTTCAAAACATTGCTCTAAGCAACTCTAATGTTTTTAAATGAAGCCAGTTTTGAGCTTAGTTATGAATTACATCTCGTCTTAGTTTTCCAAATAGCAAACTGATGAGTTTTGGAAAAACATCTACTGTATAAATTGAACAAACCTTCCTAAAGAAGGGTGAATCTGCTTTTGAATACTTCAGACAAGTTCTGTACTCTGAAAGGGTTTTTTGATTACAGGATTTCATCATGAGCTGACATTGGTTAGAAGACCATTGGAAAACTTTCAGGGAGTACTGGACAGCTGTTTCGTTGGCTCATTCTGGGACTCTAAAGCAGGACTCACCAACCACGGGGTGGTTCGAACGCAGGACCTGCTGTTACTGGGCAACTGAGCTCGTGGAGCATTCAAACACTGGGACCTTATCCAACGGCCAGTCCATGAATTCCAACTTCTACCAATTCACAATATGGCGTATCCAATAGTGAATGTCATCGGTGGGGAGTATTAGTCGTCAGAACCGACCTTCTGTACCCCACTGGTCACGAATTCGCACTAGAACCCCAGGTAACTACCTACTTAGATAGAGTCAGTCGCTAGCGAGCATCTCATTGATATTCAAGTATTGATTTGCAGGGATTTGATTTATTGGTTACAGGATTTCATCATGAGCTGACATCGGTTAGAGAACCATTGAAAACCAGCAAAGAGTACTGGACAGCCGTTTCGTCCTAGTTTGGGCGTGAAGACAGATACTCTCCGAAGAAATTGGTTAGTGGTCACGCTATGTCGTGAATTGACAGAAGTCGGAATTCATGGACTGGTCATTGGATCGGGTCCCAAAGACTAATGGTCAACGACCTTGCCTTGTAACCACAAGGTCCTGGTTTCGAGCCCCCTTTTGTGTGCGTGTACTACTGAAGAGTTCCAAACTAAGCTGAAGAAATAGCTGTCCAATACTTCTTGATGGTTTCCAATGGTTCTCTGATCTATGTCAGCTCATGATGAAATCCTGTAACCAATCAATCAAATCCCTACAAACCAATACTTGAAAGTGTTTTTATTTTTATTCTATTCTAAAACCTGGTTATAACTTACGTGGAGTGACCTTAATCTTTGTTCTCCTTCTTTGTGAAAGATTCAATGAATCTTTAGAAGCTAGAGAGAAATTTCTTTAAATCATGCTCTGAGAGATACATATTCAGAACATCATCTACCCTGAGGTTGTAGATATACTTCCCTCACGATTTTCAGCAGAAATTCCTATCGGTCTCATCGAATTAGTTTGCATTAACCCTTAGAATTATTTTTCTATTATTTCATATTACTACATTCAAAATCGTAAGTATAACAAGATATTCAACGTTTCATTTCATCTAAAGTGGATTTTAGCTCTGATATTTAAGGAAATTCTCTAATAAGTAAACATCCTTTTCATTACCAGACAGGCTTTTAAATATGCACCATTCGATTAATTTCTGAGTGTCTTTCACTTAGAAAATACTTTAAAGAATTGAAGTCATTATTGTACTAATATTTAAATCAACCATAAATTATTTTTCCATCCCACCTTCAAATTAAGCGCTTAACCCGCTTATACATTTTCCACTGAATATCTCTGTGTCTAAAGAAACAGTACATATGACCTATTGGAGCTGGAAAATTACACATAGACAATTAAGCAGATCAGTTACTTACCATAGTTTTAACTAACCCAGGAGGTAGAAGTGTACAAATCTCTGCTAAAGTCATTTTATAGACTTGTTTCCAGTAGGGATCTGATATTGCAAAGCGTATAACACTGAATGCAGATAAACAGATTTTGCAGTCTGTAAAATTGGAGAAGAGAATTCAAGGAAATTCACCATTAGGCCATAAAATATGTCATTCTTCAGTGTAGAGTGTGGTTACATATTCTAAAAGTTGTTAATAAAAAAGAAAACATTGATCCTGAACAAATAAATTATAATGCATCGATGGCACAGTGGTTAGGACTCTCGCCGACCATGCACATGGTTCGGGGTTCGATCCCCTGCCGACGCACACCCGATATCTATGGTCGGCCTGCAAAATTTGGGCTACCGATATCACATGCTGAAAATTCCATACCTGTACCAAAAAATACGGTGTGGAATCAAGCTGTAATCAAAAAAAATTAAAAATTCGTATTTCAAAAAATGATGAGATTTTTTGTTTTGGTGATATTTCGAGCAAAATTATTGCTCGTGATCACACCAACTGTTAGAACTGGGTATTTTTTTAATTCACACACTTATGATTTGTAATATTATTACCAAAACAAGAAACTTATCATTGTGTGTAAACTATTGAAGTATAATGATAATTTATTTGATCCATTGTACAATGCCCAAACATTTTACTGACATTGATCTTGCACAATTATGATTTTTACCCATCCCACGTAACAGTTGTCTATAGACATATACATGGCTTACTCCAACAAGTCTGCTCATAAAATACCTTAGTTTCACAAACCTCTTTCTTCATGTAGTTACTCCTTGTTCACAAAAGTGTGTTGCTGCGATATTTTGATTGAACTAGCGTATACACATATCCTAATACTTCCTCGCGTTTACAATTGTGCCCTAACGTTGCGATTACTCGACATCCACAACGTAATTAAAAAGGCACTTGCGAAGGAATACGACAGTGTATTATTGCAGCAATCAAAAATTCAAAAATCGAGCGAGTACAAAAAGTATCAATTGTTAACATGCATGATTTTGAGTAATAAACAAATGAAAGTATAGTACGATTATGAGTAATAAAACGGGTCACTACAATAGCCCCTCCGTAGAATGCAGGTAAATGAAGTTTACCTGTATTCGGAATGATATTGTAAATTACAATTACAGAAGAGATATATACGAGTTTGTGGTATGAAAACCGAATTGAGGATTTTAAGTTTTTGAGGTTTGATAATATAACTGTATATATGCAAAAATGTTAACAACTTCGAAACGAACCAAAATGTTTAGAAAGTTGTGCAACATGTAACAATAAAAGCAGAAAAATTATTATTAGAATAATAATGAAGTTGTTGTTGTAAAGAGTTACAGAATAGATTTATATCTTAACATACAATTAATAGTACCGTAATAAGGAAGTATGGAAATGACTTGGATAAACATTCAGTTACCTCTATTTCTATGAAAGCTGGTTGTACAAGTGGAATTGTACAAGAAGAGATGGCTGTGCCAGCGAAGAGTGCAGCTGCTGCTGCTGATACGGTTGAAAGTGAACATCCGTCAGCATGTTGTTGCTGTTGCTGGGGTGTTGTTACTCGGCGTTGAGGAGTAACTTGAATTGATGTTTGCTGAGGTTGGAGAGTAGAAGTTAGTTGATTGATAGCCATTCCAACAAGAGCAGTTGGCACAAGCTGTGGTAAATCAGTGGTTTGAATCAATTGACCGTTAGGACCAACAGTCATGACTTTCAATGGAGCTCCTGGTGCCAGAATGATAAACTGGGGAGTAGCATAGGAGCGTGCAGTTACAGTACCAGGTTGACCACTGACAGGGACGTCAGTTGCCATCATTGTTGGTTGTTGCTGATGTTGTTGGATATAAGCTTGCTGTTGAGCTGGTTGTAACTGATGAGCTTGTGCTTGAATCTGTTGTTGTTGAGGTGATTGGGTAAACTGTTGTAATTGAACAGTTGTAGGACCGGCTTGAGTAAATGGAGTTGCAGACCATTGTAAGAGTGTTTGCACACCTGTAGACAATGCTGAAGCTTGAGGACAGAGAACTGGAATTGAGGTGTTGCATAACAGCCAGCTGCTTGAGTATCAGGGTGAACTGGGATAGCAGTCACTGTGCCGCCAGGTCCGGAGTTATTTTTAGCAGAAATATCAGTAATTATACATCCGAATGTTATGAAGTTATAAAAGTTAATGCGATGGCAAAGATGATTTATTCCACTGTGTATACTTCGCAATAATGTAGTCCATCAATCAGCTATGTCGGGCTCGCCAATTTGTTGCTGCGATATTTTGATTGAACTAGCGTATACACATATCCTAATACTTCCTCGCGTTTACAATTGTGCCCTAACGTTGCGATTACTCGACATCCACAACGTAATTAAAAAGGCACTTGCGAAGGAATACGACAGTGTATTATTGCAGCAATCAAAAATTCAAAAATCGAGCGAGTACAAAAAGTATCAATTGTTAACATGCATGATTTTGAGTAATAAACAAATGAAAGTACAATTACACAATGAAAGTATAGTACGATTATGAGTAATAAAACGGGTCACTACAAGTGTCATCCAAACTGTAAGATCAAAATATTCACTTATAAACGTTTGTACACTCCATAATTTAGTTTAAGTCGATGACAACTACTGAAAACAACCACTGACCTGGTCTAGAGTTACACAAACGTAATGATTTGATCTTTGCATGATCATATAGTTTAGATACACAATTTTCCACTTGAAAATGTTATCAAGCGTCAATGATTTAGTGGCAAAATGTTCACCAGCCACACAAGTGGTCCGGTTTCGATTCCAAGCCTACTCACTCTCAAACCTCGCCTAGCCAGTAGTAAGCTTGGTAAAGAGCGTAGGTGGGGAGTAAGGCCAGCAACCTGACACCTGCAAAAAACCACCGCTACTGAAATGTCATAGCTCAAGCCTGAAACCCTCGGAGCGCAAGGAATGAAGAATAGCTTGATTTGAATCTGAAGACAATGTCATGATGAATAACTTTCAAGGTAAATGTCTGATTGATGCTGCACTGTATGTCTATCAACTTATCGTAGAATATAATATCTCTTTCTTAAACTTAGAAAAATGATTGCACCCGAGGAACGAAACAAGAGTCACATTTTTCAGCGACAAACGTTAAGATTGTGAAACCATCCTGACCAAATGAACCTCATTATCCATAATATTTCCCTATTAAAAAATTTAATACACCATACAAGATGTTTTTGAGTAAGCTGTCATTATAAAACTGTCATCTCTCTGTAGTTAACCACTCTCGGTCGGAATGTCACTGAGCCTGGAGGCTGAGTTCTACGGAAACGCTTAATCTATATCTCATTTCCAGTCTGAAACATAAATGATACTAGCTGATTCTGAATATAACAAATCACTACACATTAAATAAATAAACAAGTTCTCTAGACTACTGTTGTTTAGTGCTATTTGACACTACGACAATGCACGATTTAACAGTTTTAATGGCTATACATGATTTAGAATTATAATAAGCTGTAATCACAATACATTCTTTTTGGGATAGTCCCACACTGTACTTGTTGTCTTTAATACAATATTACCAAAATTTGATCTTTGTTTTGATTTTCTTTTACTCCTGAATTCCCAAATAGAAGCTCAGATTTAAGCCTTTGGGCCTTGAAATTTCAGTAACATTCTGGTGTTGTTTTCATTGAAAGAGGGTTCTAGTCTCACACCTAGCCTCTCCTCTTTTCCAGGCCCACTACCTGCTAGTAAACTAAGTGAGGTTTAGGAGTTCGTCGGCTGGGAGTCGAAACCCAGATCAAGTGCACGGTTGGAGAGCATTCAACTGGTGCACCACCGATACTAATCATTATAATGGCATCTATATTCACGTCATCTTACTTACCAACACTAGAATGATTTCCACTTGTAGTAGTGGTCTAAAATGCAAAGAAATAAAAACAAGATAATATTGACATTGCAATAGTCGGTGGAAAATCCTATGAATTAGGTATTCTCACGTAACATGTGACTTGTGAAACATTACCACGATTCCGAGTGGAATTTAGGAGTGAAACGTGCATAATTCTTGATGGAATTAGACTGTCTTTATCAATTTTGTATTCATTCATAAAGAAACGCCAGTGATTCGTCACATAAAAGTGTTTTAAATGCAGTTACAATATATTTGTTTTACTACGTATGACCTATTTATATGAATTGATATCAATGTACACAACTCATTAAGTGTTTGGAAGAATGACACTATCAAATGCTGTCCATCTGTCGGATTAGACCATAACTTCAGGGTGGTTTAAATAATTCAACTGAGTGATATGATTCGCTTCTGATATATGACTGAATATTCTAGTGAAATTGTCACCTAATATTTGTAGACTCCTTGATTCTGTCTGTCTTATTAGATAGAATATAGAATAGATGACAGTCGGACAACGAAACATGCATGTTCTATACTGACATACCAGTTAACTATACATCTTCATTCATTTACTGTTTAGTTTATTCTTCTTAGGGAAACGTGAATACTGAGCATAACCGTTTTCATACTTTACTTGCATTTAGTCCTTAATAACTTCTTAATTTGTTAATATATTGCCATATTTCTATATACACCAACTCTGATTTATTATGGTATATTCCAGTTGGGAGATGGAATTCCAGATTAATTAAAAGCCTACCACAGGGACTGTCAGTCTTAAACATCTCAGTTGACAGATAAAATAAAATAATTCTCCAATAGGTATACTGACACCGAGTATGCATTGCTGATAGTTTATCGATTGCATTTAATCTTCTAAATGAAACTAATTATCAAATTCGCAATTTACGCATTTCAATGTGATTATTTCACCAGAGTTCTCTCTGAAAACCTAGAGTGTTGAAATCACAATGATCTACTTAATAACAAAACTGATAATCAAGGGACTAAGCACGAATGCATAAGACTGTATACTACAGGGGGATTGAGATGAGTAATTATATACCACTCACATTAGTCACTGGTGCTTGTTATTCAGATTATCGATATGATCCGACCACCAGAGGGCCATTTCGCTCGTTTGAGGCCAAGCTCTTCAACGCTGTATCCAATTTGACTCAGCTCAGATAACTGAATTAGCTCAAAAAATCCGATTTCTGGCTAGCTGCTTGGGCGAACCGGTAACATCTTAAGTCGAATTCGCCATTTCCTAATTAATTGGCAATTCGAAGAGGTGACATTTCCCGGTGGTTTCCTTTAAGCCACTCTCCAAACGGGCAAAATGACTGTCTGGTGTATCACTTAGGTCCGCCTAATAATCACTACGAACTGTTGTGAGTGGTCTAAAACCACTTATCTGAGTCAACCGGTAGTATATAGTAATATGCCAATTTGCTTGCTTTCTTGATTAACATTTATGGTATCAAGCAGATCATGTGCTGTGATGTGAAGAATCTCGACTTCTAGATGAATTTGCAAACTGCAAATCTGACCTAAGGTATCACCAGTTCGCCCAAGTGGCTGGCCAGAAATCTCGTGGTATGAACTGATTCGGCTGAGTCCGTTGATAACCTCGCCCCGAAACGAGCGAAACCACAGTCAGGTGTTTAGATCCCTTCGATATTCTGGCTAGTGAGTACTACTGGTTGATCTGGGAAACATACAACTACTCAGTTCACTCAATCAGTAGTACAAAGTTTCATGAAACTAATTATCCTTTTCAGCATCAACACCTTGATGTAATAATAGTTTAGTTATACTTATATACATCCCATTTTTTAATGCATAAAATGTGCACTGACTTACTGAAATTTCTGTAGCTGGTAATGTATAAACTACTTGAACAGTAAATAGTAGTACTAAGCATAGAATCACCATCATTTGAGAATATGATATTATTATGAATGAAACGATTAAAATTTATAATTCTTCTTGTTTGAATAGTGAAGAGGGTCACATTTTTGTACTTTACACTCTGTTCAATTTTAACCAAAATATGTTTTTGTTTTTTTAAATTCGAATTGCTAAGATGTATTTACATTACGCAAAAATGCTTTTTTAAATTTGATCAAAATTATTATTATTATTAAAATTGACATTTAGAGCTGCCTATCTTTACAAAAAAAACATCACGCTATGTTTAAACTGTGCAATCTAAAATCAAGACTGAACACCCAAAAAAACTTATCACCACTAACTACCACTACTCAAATTTTGCAGGCCGACCACAGATATCAGGTGTCGTTGGCAGGGGATCGAACCCCGAACCATGTGCATGGTCGGCGAGAGTCCTAACCACTGTGCCACCGACACTAATAATAATAATAGTAATAATAATAATAATAACAGCTTCATCCGGCACAAAACGTTTACACAATATACAGTGTTTTTAGCTCAATTAATTGCACAATATTTTCTCATCATGCAAGATCTTCAAGTAGAACAGGATTCTACAGTATCTAGTTTGATGTAATGCTGTACGATCTGAAGAATAAAATAATCCATCATGGTATTTTGCTTTCGTCTTGTGCAGCAGTAGGTTGAGAGCCAATTAAAAATGTGCATGAGTACATTTACCGACCAACGGATTTAAGTGAATGGTTAAAACAAAGAGAGACAGATAGAGAAAGTTGTATGCATTACGTTGGATAGAAATTCAGGTAACCCAGTGGTTCAAGCAGGCCGCCATTATATGAAAATATAACAGATAACAATCCGGTCAGAGATGAATCGAAACAATCGCACACCTCTCCTGATGTATATGAAAGATAGAGACTCTGAGCTTTAAAATGTTATGTAATTAATATTATTGTCAACACAATGATAAGAATTCAAAGCTTACGTAAGAAAAAAGTTTTGACAGGATTGCTAGTTTCTGAATTAGAAGCTTCTTACAGACAACTTGTAACTAAAATCTATACGCAGTCTACAGTACATTTCCATATGGAGGTAACCACTAGCTTATCGGCTGGAGTAGAAGTCGCTCAATAGAATCTTCTTCTCCAAATTTTTAGTTGATAGAAGCTAAATGTTTCTCACATTTTTGGCCACAGAGTCAGTAAGTTGGGAAGGTATCAGCCAAAACAAGACATTTTGTCGTTAATTAGATAAAGGATTCCCCAGATTTACCTTTTCATAAAGTAGCATTGTGGACGACTTCTTGACTGATGCTAAAAGCTTTGAGGATAAAAACAATTATTCTTCAGAACTAACTGAATCATGCAAAAATTTAGAATTTAAGCTACAAGTGTTGTGGCAAGTGATGAATAAACTACACTTTACACTTTTCAATAATAAACATTATAAGGCTGATTTTTACCGCTTATTTCAAATATTTCTTGATATTAATATTTTTCTTAGTATATTGTAAAAGATCTAACAACTAAACACTCCAAACAGTGATACTTAGTTTGAATAGCCATGAAGAATAATTGAAATTCTTACATAAGCACCATTACATATTTCATGAATTTTTATTTATTTACATGAATTAACCTACAAATGGCTTTTGTTGGTATTTTGTATTTGAGTCTCTATTGAATTGTAGATTCAGGTAGAAAAATCTTTTAGGAGAAGAAAGTTTAGTCGGTCTTCATGATGTAGGCTTCATGGATTTGTATTGATGAAGCGTTCAACGTAGTCATTTTCAATCAGAATCTACAAATATCCGAATTCGGAACTGTTACCTCGAAAAGCACATCATTTAGTGGCCTATGTGAATCAACCTCTGTCAGTTGCCGATACAGACCTGTTTCCACTGTTCACACACGTAACTGGATTGACCCTACAGGTCAGGATGTTTCGGAAGAATTTCTGCCGACCTATATTCAAGCTAGTTACTAATGAAAAAAGACCTACGATCAAATGTTAAATTTTGGTGAACAACAATGTAACCTATTCGAATCTTAATAATCAAGTATCCCTCCACATGTGGTGTCATGCATGCACGCAAATGACGAATCTTAAAATAAAATAATTATACAGTAACCTCGTGTTTCAATACTTAATTCACAGAAATTAATTTAATGCATTTATTCCCGTTTATGAATTTGGATAAAGCAAGAACAACAGTTTTGCAGAATAAAATGGTACCATTATCGCTTATTTCGTTGGCTTCTCGTCAGCTGCTTACAGCACAAAGACATTATATATCTACAGAAACAATTGTAACAAACTTGCAAAGAGTTCATTTTTAAACAAAGAATCAATATATGCATTCAATGCTAATAATAATAAACACTTTATCCCAAACAATAATAATCATACACAATGGAATTTTTTGGCGTTAACTAATCGAATAAGAGAGAGGATGAAAACATCCAGTTACTAGGGCAAGGAAAGACTGATAACCGCTTCTCTCTGAACGCATAAAGAAGAAATTGATTGACAACAATAAGTACAATGATTTGAAACCCCAAGGGTCCCGTTTGCCACACATATATGGCCTTCCAAAGACACTCAAAAAAGAAGTTCCTCGGAGACCTATACTTTCGATGATCAACTCGCCCCAACATAAGGTTGCTCGTTGGCTTGTGGAGAAGCTAGAACCCATTCGTCAACGGCTAGCCATGTACACCATGAAACACTCATTTCATTTCGTCGAAAGTGTGAACCACATGAACGTTTCAAATAAGTTCATGGCGTCATTTGATGCAACCTCCTTGTTCACAGTGATTACAATCAATGAAACTATTGAGATCATTCGTTAGCAATCTGATCTTCTCCCATTCCTAGATTAAGAATTCAAACGCCTGCTGCTAATGTGTACCATGGATGTGCAATTCTAGTTTGACAACATTTTACCGCTAAACAGATGGTGTAGCTATAGGCAGTCCACTCAGCCCTGTTTTAGCAGATATCTTCATGTCAACCTTGAAAGAACAAAGTTGAAGCATGCAATCAATGAAACAACTTCTTATTGTCGATATGTCGATGACACATTTGTAGTGTGCAACAATGAAAGTCATGCTTCCCACTTACGCAGACTATTCAACGGCGTACATACAAATGTTGGATTTACTATGGAACATGAAAGTGATGGAAAGTTCCACTTCCTCGACATTGCCATGCAACGCCTAGAAGATGGTAGTCTTCAGAAGTCAATTTACCGAAAGCCTACATGGAAAAGACAATACCTACATTTTAATAGTTTTTGCCTAAATAGCTTTAAACGTGGACTAGTCAAGACTCTATACTATAGAGCTAAGAAATTATGCTCTATAGAGAAATTAGAGGAAAAATTTATGTTTCTCGAAAAGATGTTGAAAAACAACGGTTCATTAACAAGTATGGAAGATCTGAAGGCTCTAATGTCAAGCAAATCACAGTGGGGAAAAAGCCCATCTTCATTCAAATTGATTTTAAAGGTGAAAATATTATAGCAGTTATCAACAGAAGATTGAGAACGTTACTAGCCAGAGCTTATCCTGCAGCTAAGGTGGTTCCCGCTCTTTGGTACAATCAAAATTCGACAGATATCCGTCTCATGTTAACTCCAAATGTATGTACAAATTTACATGCATCTGCGGGATCAGTTATATTGGGAGAACAGAAAGAAGAATATACCTCCGATTTTCTGAACATGTACCAAAAAGATTGTCTAAAGGGAACAAATGCTTTAAACAGTGCTATCGTCAGGCATCTTCATCAAGCGACTGAAATCCAATTTATGCGTTCAGAAAGAAGTGGTTATCAGTCTTTCCTTGCCCTGGTAACTGGATGTTTTCATCCTCTCTTTCATCGAAAGTTTCCATTGTGTATGACTATTATTGTCTGTGATAAAGTGATTATTATTATTATTAGCATTGTATGCATATATTGATTTTTGTTTAAAAATGAACTGTGCAAGTTTGTTAAGATTGTTTCTGTAGATATACTTCATAATGTCTTTGTGCTGTAAGCAGCTGATGAGAAGCCAACGAAATAAGCGATGATGGTACCATTTTATTCTGCAAAACTCTTGCTCTTGCTTTATTCAAGTAAATTATTTGCTCACAAATCTATCAGTCATGTAAGAATATCATGAAAATAGTATGAACTGTTAAATTTTCGTCAAACGTTTCATACTACTTTAAATAAATGAAAGTAATAAAGCTAAATATAACCATTATTTGTGCAATCCTTTAGAAATGCATAATCATTTGAATTTGAAAGCAGAAGACTTCATCAGATAAACAACTTTTAATAGCCTCTTCATAATAAGTTAATATCCTTGTGATGTACAATATATACTTCACTAAAATTCTGAAAACGAAAACAAGTTTCAAACAGTCAATTACAACTCCTGAAGGTTTGATTAGTTGCGTAAAGTAATGTAAAACCAGTAACTAATTAAACAATACGTCTATGACATTATTTTCACTCTTGTATTATATTTTACCTTGAAATGGGTGATAGCAGCATTTTAAATGTAACCTTGACATTTTCGTTTTCTCTGGTAATTGAAGCCAAATAAAATTCAGTCATCATTAGAAATTGTTTTGATGTTAAATAAAACCTTCTCCACCAGGTGGTATGACCTGAAACTTCAACCTCTTCAGATTGGATTACAAATAACAACACATTTTACCCATCTCATGGACAACTTAACGATATGTTGTTATGACAACCAATGTAATCTATCAGTATCCAAATAGCAAAGGCAGATCTTTTGTAAAATAATGATGACTAAGAAGAATAGATAAGTGAATTATGTAAGAGTTCCAAGATTATTATTATTATTCCCATAGGCTCCTAGTGGAACATCGGGCTCCATTTCACTCTCTCCTCTACAGTCCTTTTCAGCTGACTCCATGAATGCCCATAAGTTTTCATCTTCCCCTCATATGACCTCCTCCATATCCCTCTTGGACCCACGCGTAACTTTTTCAATTTTGGTTACAGCACTTCATCATGTGCTGACATCGGTTAGGGAACCATTCGGAAACCTGGGAGTACTGGACGGCTGTTTCGTCCTAGTTTGAGACTTTTCAC